CCCGCCTGCTCCCTGCCTGGCAGTCGCTGGCCGGCCCTGCAGCAGCGGGCAGACAGCTCGCACTGCGTCTGGGCGGCTCTCCTCCCGCAGCCCCGGCCCCCGCGGGCTGCAGAGGAGCAGGCTTTCTTCTGGAAGGCAGGTCGGCCAGCTCCCGGTAAGGCAGCACCTTCCGCCCACCCCACTTCCTCCAGCTTGGTCTGGTTCTGTTTGGGATGGCTATGGGAAGGGCTGCTGCGGATGGAGGCTGTGTGAGGGGACCGGCAGAGGCTCAGAAGGGAAGCCCTGGGGTCAGCAGGGGCGGGGGGGGGGAGAACGGCGCGGTGACGGAGACGGGTGCCTGTGACTTCCAGGGGCTTCTCAGCTTTCGTGCTCTGTTAGTTTAAAAGAGCATGTCCTCGATGTGTAGAAGGAAGCTTTATGAGTTGTGTTGTGTGTGCACACGCTCTGACCTGGCTGGGTTGGAGGCAGCCCAGACAGAGCAGCCGTGTTCTGGGTGGAGGCCAGCCGGCTCAGTGGGCTGGGATGACGTGGGGAGTTGACTGCTTCCTCCGTGTAAACTGGGGGGATGATGATGGTTCTCGTCTCATCTAATTAGAGCACATGTGCACACACTGCCAGGACAGGATGCGCGGATGGTCAGGGTTTTGGGTTGATGCCCACGGTGCCCCCAGCACGCTGACCCGGCGGAGTAGATGCTGCGGTGGGCTTGGTGTCTGGAGGGGAGGCTGTGGTGCTTGCTGGTCAGAGGGAGGGGGCGGGGGTGCAGCTAGGGCACCCCATCTGGATCCTGTAGGGCACCAGGGGACGCAGACGGCTGGGGTTCCTGGCCTTTGGGGGAGTCCCGGAGGTGCCCAAGCCTTTCGAGGGTGTGAACAGGGGGCAGAGTGCTGTGGCCTCCTCCAGGCCTGCTTGGTAGAGCGGTGACCAGTGCTGGAGCGGCTCCGTGAGATCTGAGTGGAGGTGGGCCTGGGGCGGGCTCCGTTTACCCTGCGCTGCTTGTTTCAGGGATAAACGCCCAGGCCCGGAGGTTGCAGCGGAGCCGCGCCAAGGGGACCCCAGCCCCAGCCTCAGAGGGTACTCGGAGCCCCCCTCTACCCCGGCTGCGCCGCACGGTCAGCGAGACCAGCCTGAGCTCAGCCACCACCCTGCTGGACGCCGCCCGGGGCCCCGAGGAGCCCGGCCAGGACACCATGCGCTGCTCCCTCTACGAGTCGCCCCACCTGCTCCTTCTGCAGGGCTACAGCCAGCAGCACGTGAGCCCAGCTCCCGCCTCGGCCGGCTCCTCAGATGGAAGGCCCAGTCAGCAGGGGGACTGGGGGGCTGCTGCTGCTCTGGTGACAGTGGGCTGAGGGGACCACCACATTGGGCCCGTCCTAGACTCTAGAGAGGGGTGGGGGCCTCCCCAGACTCTGCTTCCAGAGCATTCTCTCCGTGCAGGCAGCAGGGCCCTGTGCAGGGGTCCCCTGGCTCCTTGCTGACCGATCCCAGCGTGGGTCTCACCCAGCGCCAGGCTCCTTCCAGCCTCCCCTTTCCTGCCTGACCTTGGGGGAGTCTGCAGCCTCCCCCGAGGGCGGCAGGTGCCTGGGCGATGGCGCACGCTGGCTGGGGTTCGGGCCTGGCGTACCCTCGGGGCCCCCAGGGCAGCTTTCTCTGAGGAGGCCCTCTTCCTACCCCAGCGAGCATGCCCCTTGTGGAGACGTCTTGGCCTGAGGGGTCTCGCCCTTGGCGCTGACATGTCACCATCCACTTCCTGCTCCATCTTACACACACACCCTTTGTGATGTAGGGGGGCTCTGCTGCTCAGGTCCTGGGCAGGGGGTCATCACAGTCACCTGGGTGGGCTTGGCTGGGTCTGCAAACTGGCACCTGTGTCCAGGTCCACCCTGGTCTGGCCACTCACGTCTCAAAGCTGGCGTTACCCTGGGTGTGTGGTGTGCCAGCGAGGATGCCCTGGGAACTTCCCCTGGGGATGGGTGGGCGCCCAGTGGGAGGGCTGAGAGCGAGCAGCAGGTTGGGCGGGTGGCCCAGGGAGGCTTAGGTGCCAGGGACCACTGATGGCAGCGCCGAGCGGTGTCCTGCCCCTGAGGCTTGGTGTCTGCATTTCAGGACAGCCTGGTGTATGTGCTGAACCGGGAGCGGCACACGGTGGGCCAGAGGACCCCCTCCAGCAAGCCCAGCATCAACCTCGCGGCCCCCGACATCCTGCCCCTGCACTGCACCATCCGCCGGCGCCAGCCCTCGGGCGGGGAGCAGGCCGGGCCACGGCTGGTCCTGGAGCCCATCCCTGGTGCGCCTGTGTCGGTCAACTTCTCGGAGGTGGGGGGCCGCGCCGTGGTGCTGCGCCACGGGGACCTGCTCTCCCTGGGCCTCTACTACCTGCTGCTGTTCAAGGACCCGGCGCAGGCCCAGCCCCTGCCCGCCCAGGCCCTGGCCCGCCTCCGGGCTGTGCCGCAGAGCTGTCGGATGTGCGGCACCGTGCTCCGGGCCCGGGGCGCCTCGGTCTCCGAGCGGGCCGCCCTCCCCC